TGTAAAGCTGCTGCTAACCTGGGAGTCAAAGCTTGAACTCTGGCTTCACAAAGAAAGTGGGACTCTGGCATCTTGAATAGATGAAAACAAGAGCTGGCACGTTCCTAACAGAGGGTGTGAGAATATGCTCCCTTCTGAATTCTTCCCCAAACTGCTTTTCTCTGTATATCCTACTGGTAATTTGTAAGTGCTCAATAAGAATAGAGCCCTCTGGGACACCTGGGTGGCTCAGCGGTTGACCGTCTGCCTTTGACTCGGGGTGTGAATCGTGGGGTCCCAGGATCGAGTCCTGCAACAGGCTTCCTGCATGGAGTACGCTTGTCCCTCTGCCTGTGTCTCTGCCCCTCTCTCTCTCTCTTTCTCTCTCAATCTCTGTGTCTCTCATGAATAAATAAAAATCTTAAAAAAAAAAAAAAAGAATAGAGCCCTCTCCGACACTTTGAAGAATACATAAACGTTTCATTTTCAGAATGCTTGAAATTATAGGATGAGGTGAGAGGGTGAATATGTGGTCTGAATTCTCTTGAATATCAGTTCTCTTAATTTTGTTGAGCAGCATCTGAAGCCCAAATAATTTCTTTTCTTGAAGATGGCTGTTAGAGATGGACATAAGGCAATCTTAATGTCATTATAGAACTAAGATAATTTTATTTTTTCCTCAAATTCAGAAAGAATATTAATAGCTAATCTTGTATTGAGGCCTCATCAGCATTAAAGAACACACCTAAGTTTCCTACCTACTGACACAACTACTAGAAGTACATCTGCTACCTAAAACTCCCATGTTAGCCAGAAAATTCTCACAAGTTATATTTTAGACCAAAAGTTTATTTTGGTCTGTTAAACTTCCCCCGATAATCCCTCAAACTTACCCTCTGACTTTGAGAGAAGAGTGATATTAAAACATGGGGTATACATTTTGCTTTATACTAAAAGTTTGTTTTGTTTTTACCATTTCAGAGAGTCAATCAAATTCCCTCTGATTCATTAACAACCAGTACCTACTGTTTCTTTGGTATCACTGTACATTTCAGACAGTTAGAAAGGCTGAAGTGCTTTATACCATTGTCTGAGTAGGTGATAGAAATCAAACAGTGTTCTTTGTTCTTAAGTGGCTTACTCGCAAGAATAGGAATGAAATTAAAGTGAACCCATTTAAAAGATAGAAAAGCAAATGGGCATTCTTTATCTTAAAGCATCAGAGTTCATCAAATATCAGAGTTCATCAAATAGGCTTGTATTGTGAAGAGTGAAGAGTTTTTCAGCCAGTTTGTCTACTGATGTTTTTATTTTTCAGTAAGCATTTCTGCAATCTAAGTGTCCTATCTTCTGAAAATCCCTATCGGCTTTTCATTTAAAACTCTTCTCCAGGGGCACCTGGGTGGCTCAGTGGTTGAGCCTCTCTTTGCCTTTGGCTCAGGTCGCGATCCTGGGGTCCTGGGATGGAGTGGCACATAGGGCTCCCTGCTCAGCAGGGAGTCTGCTTCTCTCTCTCTCTCTACCCCTCCCCCTGCTGCTCATGCTCATTCTCTCTCTCAAATAAATAATCTCTTTAAAACATTTAAATAATAAAAATAAATAATTAAAACTCTTCTCCAAATTCATCTCCTGAAGGAAGACTTCCCTAGCAAAACTACTTTACTATCACCACTCCATCTTTCTACATCCCTTCATCATTACCATATTTAGTTTGAAATCTATTCCTTTGTACTTGTTATGGCCTGAGTTGTCACGTGACATATTACTGAAACCAAGAATCTATATCATGACTAATGGGCTATCTATTGTGTGATTTTAAGCAAATCACTAACTTGAATGTTTTAAACTTCTCTATCTAAAACACTGGAAAACCACAATCTGTCTTCCAATGGCTCAGGTAAGAATAAATGAGAGTCTAAGTATACACTCTTAAGAACAAAGATAATAAATAACTGAAATCTAAATGACCCATGGTTTAGAATCGTTAATATATTAAGTAGTCATACAAATTTAGTTCTCTGGAGCATTAGAAATTTAATTGGTGGGAGAAGGAGCAAAGTTCGACTCAAGAAAGAAGCCAATAAAAACTATTCCTCAAGATTATAATTTTATTCTGTATCCCATTATTCTCTCGATTTAGAGAACTTTGCTGGGTCTGCAAAAAACAAAGATGTTTTCTAAAAGACAAATCAGTAGATTTCCTAATGTGAATTCTAGTATCGCTTGTGTAATGGGTTTGGAGTGAGCAACTGACATCAATATCTAAGCACTGCTCTTCTGAAAACTGTTATGCAGTCCATTTGCCTCAAGTGCTAATGATTAAGCAATCAATATATCAGTAGCAGTCAGTGACAGGATGTCCTAAACTTTGGCACTGAGACGTTTACTTTGAGGGGGAAAGGATGATTAAATATACTGCCAAATAAATTCAGGGAGAGCTTTTGTGAACTTCAGATTTGACAGGCACATGTTAATAGGGAAAGAGGGTGCTTTCCACAAACTTCAAAACTGAACCAGACCCTGGGGAAGAGGTATAAACATATGCTAAAAAAAGTACATTGTCTTAACTTTTGTTCTTTATTCCCCTCCTCTTTGAAGAGTCTAGTAATCGGAAAATAGGGATAAAGAAGAACATCAGCAATTTCACAAACTTTTCAGTCTGGTTCTTTTTTGAAGGAGAACAATGAGAAAGAGGCATAGAGAAATGCCCTTAGTGGGAGGAGAGAACATCTTTTCTCTTGCTAGAAATATCCCAATTAAGAAAATCCAAATTGGAATATGGTAAACTGCCCACAGAAAGATTTCAGTGGTACTTGACGGGATGAGCACTGGGTGTTATTCTGTATGTTGGCAAATTGAACACCAATAAAAAATAAATTTATCATAAAAAAAAATAGACAATTTCAAAAAAAAAAAAGAAAGATTTCAGTGGTACTAACAAAGGAACATTTGTATGTATGTAAACATCTAGTTTTTTGACCTGTCACACAATGGGCTCCTTTTATTATCATTATAATCTCTGGAAAATACCTTGGATATACTATTGTGGAAATAACATGGTTACAGAACAATATTTTATGGGAATATAAGCTTGGTTACAATTCAAAATGTTTTAAAACTATGTCAGTTCTTAGGAACTAAAGAAGCCTCACAGCTTGGAAAAGTAATCCATTTTCAAACAAAGTGAAGAAACTTGTTTTTCTTGTTGGTTGAATTTCTGAATGTGGCCTATTTAATAAAGAGGGATACAACTATCATAGGTTTTTAGTATGAATGAAATCAGATGGAGAATATAAAAAATTACTTTCACCTATGAACAGATTTCATGTCACTGGTTATGACAGTGGAAAATTAGGAACCTTTAGAAATAATATATTTTTTTTCTATTGGCATATATCAATATAGAGTTATAATTATCAACTCCCCTAGGTATGAAGATGATCTTTGCCCTGGAAAAAAATAATGAGAATAGTGTACAAACCTCAAAAGTTTTTATCACTATTCAGTAAAACACATGTGGCATTTATTTCTGCTTATTATTTTTTAAAATGTAATTTGGGGAGAAAAATGTTAATTATTTTTGGGAAGGGGCTGAAGAAATCCCAGTGAGACATTCCGTAGAAAGGTCTTTTGTTAGTATAACATCTGACCTTCTATATCTTTGGAAATCATACAACTTGGCTAATGTAGTCCTTAAAGAATTAATCAAGCAGATTGTTAGGCCCTAGTTACAGTGGAGCCAGCCAATTATGAGTTGCTCAGAAATTCATCACTGGCATGTCCAACCACATTTTCCCACATAAAGATTAGTAAAAATATGTGGAAACAGGGCCATTCCCACCTCAGCACAACTACAATATGTGTTCAGTGAAAAAGATATCAACAAAGTTTTGCTTTAGTGAAACAAACTATTTATTTGGGAATCTTTCTGATTCCTGTCTTTACCCATTAACACCTTTTCTGCCAAGTTGCTAAGGCTATCTATCCTATTTCAATTAAAACCCAACTAGTGATTTTTTATATTCAAACACACTTCTGAGTTCAAAATACTAAAGTCACATGCCACAAGCCTGAATTCATCAGTAAGTTACTAAAATCCCTAAAGACCATCTGTAGTCTTCACTGCTGTGATAACGCCCTCCCAAGGCTTACTAACAAGAAAGCTTTTCTTGTAGGACAGAAATGAAAGGGGCCAGGCTAAATGAAGATTGGTTCTCTAAGGAGAGGGCAGTGCAGCTCTTAAATAAAGAAGCTCCTTTCAGATAAGCAGAATCAGATTCCAGTTCATTTGGTTTGCTGGCTACCCTTACTTTGAACTCTCATATTTAACCCAGCAGGCTTCAAAGCAGGTGAGAAAATGACCTACCACTTAAAAGCAATTTTTCCTTTTTCAGGAATTCTGGCCTTGGAGTATCAGCTCTGATATCAGCACATTCCACATCTCCAGGGATTTATGCTTTTTTTTTTTTTTTTTTTTTTTTTTTTTATTGCTCTATGTTGAATGTCAGACTTGGTTTTCATCTCAGCCAGCAGAAAAAAAAATCAAGAAAAAAGTCCTAACTTGCTGAAACTAAAGCCTTATTCCACATAGCTTCATATCATACAAAAGATGAAGCATTAAAAAAACCACTAGCCATTCTAGTTTGTACCCTCCCATTTATCTCAATCTGATATACAGTCAGGATTATTAAAAATCATTAATCCCTAGACCTGACTTCACAAAAAAGCAATTTTGGGCAGCCCGGGTGGCTCAGCCGTTTAGCGCTGCCTTTGGCCTGGGGCCAGATCCCAGAGATCCGGGATCGAGTCCCACGTCGGGCTCCCTGCATGGAGCCTGCTTCTCCCCCTGCCTGTGTCTCTGCCTCTCTCTCTCTCTCCGTCTCTCATGAATAAATAAATAAAATCTTAAAAAAAAAAAGCAATTTTGTAACATATTTTAACAAATTCAAATTAAATTTACTCTAGCATATGAGCCAATACAAAAGAATATTAGAAGAGGAAGAAACCATGATAACAATGGAAAGAATTTAGGAAATTTTATTGAATTGCTTTGGCTTACAAAATAGAATGATTTCCACTATATTTGGCTATCAAATATCTGACCTAATTGAAAATCCTAACATAGGCAGTTTGCAATTTATCAATGCTTTCTGTTCTACAAAGCGGTTTGCCAGCACTCAGAATCTGAAACATTTCTCCACTCTTATTAGTACAAATACACATATTATTTGTGATATTACCAGCAACATTATTTAAATGATACCTAACCACCATTTATATTGCAATTTCTATGGGAAAATACATTTTAAGTTTACTATCAGGACACAGCTCCTCCCAATGTGAAGGGGGTAGGATTTCTCAACACAGCTGCACTTTGGTGATAATGATGACAATGACAGGTGGCGACAACAGTAACACTTTCCTAGTTTCTACTATGGGCAGACATGGTTCTTAACACTTGTCATACCTTAAACTCATTTAGCCCTCACAAAGGCCTATAGTAGTACTATTCTCATTTTACAGTGAGGGGGAGAAATGGTTAAGTAACTTACCTGAAGTTGCGCAGCCAGTAAGTGTCAGGGCTGGAACTCAGAGCAAAGCAGTGTGGCTCCAGAGCCTATGCTCATTACCATTCTGCAATGCTGCCCCTTCTCTAACTTAAAAAGGTGGCACTATCTAGACAGTCTAAATTCCTCATATTGCATAGAGGAGAGCAGGGCTTCTCAAGTTTTAAATCTGCAATATAGGATCACCTGGAGGTCTTGTTCAAATGCAGAATCAGGAAGTTTGGAGTGGTGCCTGAGGTTCTGCCTTTCTAACAAGCTCCTGGGTACTGGTGAAGTTCCTACTGCATAGACCATTAAGTGGAGGAAAAAGGAGAATTTGAGCCCCCAGCTCCCTAGTTGGCTGGCTGGCTGGCAGGCATTTATATGTTGTGTTTGTAAACTGGAGATGGCCTGGATGTAACCATTTTCCATAATTTCTTCAATGGAACCTGCCCTTGGTACTGCTGCATGCTAAATATTGGTCTTCAGGTACCTTGAGTAAATAGTTTGCTTTTAGGAATGAAAAAGGTAGGTGTAAAGGCCACTGGATACAATGTAGCTATAAAAGTTTGCTGTGAGACACATTTTTCACTCTATACCATCAACTTATACAAATATCAAAGGATGGTAAATAAATGCCTATTTATTGTTCATTAACTAGAATCACAGGAAATTAATAACTTTTGGTCTAAAAAAACAGCTTCCACTTAAAATGTATAATTGTTCACTCTCAGACTCTGCTAGAGGAGTGCTAAGGTGCTTGTGCTATGTAATCTTAAAGGCTCTCTGGTGCATCAGCCATGTCTCAGGTAAAGACAGACACCATATACTAACATCAATGTCTAGAGTTGACAGTGAAAACACTGCATTAATTTTAGCCAGAACCTCATGAAAGTATACCACTAAGTATCGCTACGTATCGATTCCAGATTCTAAATCTCTCTCCTCACTCAATTTTTCCTCTTTCCCGATGCCCTGAAAGAATCCTAAGTACCATCTCTCCCACTGCTTGCCTGCAATCTCAAATACACAGCTGCATATATTTTTCCAGTTGTTAGATGGACAGGATTCCCCTTCCAGTCAATTTTTTTCCATGTCAGATTATATAGTTAGGTCATTTCAGTTTGAGATGCAATCACTCCCTGGTCAGCACCACTCTGAACAACGGGGTATGATCACTACACTTCCCTTTTACACTAAAACAGAATAGTCAGTTTCCAACCTAAATATCTATACTCCCTGAGCAACAGTGGAAAGTCATTCTTGAAGACTGACCCAGAATCAAGTGCAGTCTCAGACTCCTAGGCCTACAGCCAGTGGCAACTTAACACATTATCCAGTTGACCTTCAGGGAAAAAGGGAAACCAGTGCTTTTACTCCTAGTGCCAGAAGAAAACCAACTAATCTTTAAGGCACAAAATAAACTGTTCTTAAGGCAGAAAAAGAAATTTTGAGGAATAGGGAGTTAGAATGGAGGCATATAGAAAAATTGTAGAAATTACAAAGGGCTAGTGTTTCTATGGTTCTCAGTGCTTTATAATTTGAGACAGATGAATTAGCATTTTCCTTTTGGGCCTGAACTATTATTACCTGGTAAAAACGCAAAGATGTACAAGAAAGACACATTTCTTAAAGGCTTGGTGACTTGAAGGGACTTCTCTTTGATCATTTTACTTTGAGCCAGTGACAGTAATTACTAAATTTATGTAGAAGAGAAAATAAAAAAATAAAAAATAATAAATAAATTAAAAAAAAAAAAGAAAATAATCATGGGATATTTTCTCTAACATCAGTCCTCAAGTACCTTTTGGACCTAGCTCAGGAAATGGGGAAGTAGTTCAAATTAAAGGATAAAAATAAAAATAAAGGTCTACACATGGTTCTATACCCAAGGTTGGGGAAGGGCAATTAAGAACATGCAGATACAATAGGGAGAAGCTTTGAGTGAAACAGCACATTCTGTACCCAGGGCAAATGTTCCATCTGTCCCATCTTACCTACTTATTCTCCATCAGCAAACCTTACAATTAATGATTTCACTTAAATGAAAAAATCAAAATTGGGAATTATCTCCAAAATAGGGAATTTTTTTAAATGCCAAAAAGAAAGCATTTAAAAGAGTTGGATTATTCCTTAGCTAGTAACAATTGCTATTTTTACCACCTAAAGTGATCTACAAAGACCAACTTTATCATGTTATATACTGTTGTATTCTTTAAACTTTTAAGCAACAAAAATATAGCTCAAGTCACCAAAAACTTATGTTTGACATATTTATGGCAGCAACTTTACAAATCAATTCCTGTAATTCACTATAACAAACATCTTCCACTGATCAACTGGTTTAGCACAAATAGATCAGAGATGGTTTCTTGTGTGTTTTACAAATACTCTATACAAGTCCTTGAGATCATACTTACAGCTTTAGCAAAAACACCCATGATTTCAGGAAACTGGTGTGTGAGAAGAGCTATCATTGCTGTAGAAGAACACAGTCCTGCTGTGAAATGGATGAAGAAAGGAAGTTCCTTCTTTGGGTAAACGGAAACATGATGAAAGGCTGCAAGGGAGAAAAGGTAGAAATGTATTTTATTTAAGAATATAGCATGGGATCCCTGGGTGGCGCAGTGGTTTGGCGCCTGCCTTTGGCCCAGGGCGCGATCCTGGAGACCCGGGATCGAATCCCACGTCGGGCTCCCGGTGCATGGAGCCTGCTTCTCCCTCTGCCTGTGTCTCTGCCTCCCTCTCTCTCACTGTGTGCCTATCATAAATTAAAAAAAAAAAAAAAAAAAAGAATATAGCAAAAGCCAGTTTTAATGTGTTCAAACAAAGTTTGAAACTAAAAAGGAAAACAGTTGCTTTAAAAAAGAACAAGGCATCTCTGGCTAAGCAAGGTAGAAGAAAGTCATCCATTAAATTTATTCCAGCATCAACAGTGTATCAACAGAGCCAGATAACTGCTGGGGACTGGGAATAGGATGGCATCGTGGGAAAGAACATTAATTGTAAAGTCATGCTGAGGTGGTTTTGAAAAAGAGCTTTGTCACTGATAAGCTGTGTGATCCTGAATAAGCTGCTAAACCCTCTCATAGTTGCTATGGAGTTGTTATGATGAACACTCTAAGTCCTTAAATGTGAATTGTTATAATTCTTGTTCTTTGGGAGCTCAGAGACAAGTATAGGAGACAGATGTATGGTTGCAGACTTCCCAGAACCATAATTTCATCCAGTTTTAATTAACGTTCTATGTGTGGCATTTCATAAAGCACCGTAAAAATTGAACTAGAACACCAAAGCGCTAGGATTGGGAACATAAGTAAAGTCCCTTGTCTTATCCTATTCACACATTAACTCAGGTATTATTTTTCTAATGATTGGATATTTCATTACTAATAGTATTCAAGTATTTATATCTTATTTTAAATTTGATTAAAAACACCTGAATAGCAATGCTGAGATGAGCCTATTATCATGCTTGGCCCACAGTAGGTGCTCAATAAATGTCTGTTAAACTGAGAGCTACTCTGGGACTTCATTAGTCCAGGAAGTTGACTACTCAGGGCTGACACAAACCCAGGAATTCCTGATGTAATATCCTGCATAAGTAAAGGATGACTAATTCAGTGCTGAATCAAGGTCAGCTATAAATTTTACTCTTTTCAACATAATGATTCACAGAGAAGATTACACCTAAGTTTCCTTTGGTAGCCATATTTTTTATACCTTATACTACACTCAAAAAGTATATGCCAAAAATGGAACTTATTAAAAATCTAGAAAATTTCCAGAGGGTTGAATCACTTTTAAAGTAAAAGCACATTGTATCTTAATTTTTTTTAAAGAAATTTAGAAACATTAGAAGCTATGGCTTGGATTGCTTTCTGTAGATTCATTTGTCAGTCAATGTTTGGCTAATACATCAGTATAATGGATGACTAGTACAGAAACACTCCCTTGGAAGTAAAGTTCAAATTTCATCACTGGCTTGTAGAGAAAAATTTATCAGGAGGCATAAAAGACAACTAAATAGCTATGTGAACTAAGGGAATAGTTCAAGTCTGAACTTATGAGGTTCATAAGCAAATTCCAGAATGTTGTAAGTCCTATCAAGGTTGAAGGAGAATTGAAAACAAAAACATTAAGTACTCCTGGGTTTTAGAACCCCACATTATTAAAAATTTGTTCATTCTACATTGTCAGATACAGACAAATGCTCTCAGAACAAACAATATAATCAAACAAAATCCCAGCATATTCCTCCTCTCCTACCTCCTGGAATTTGCAAATGTGGAAGTACCCTGGAAATAATAAAGGCCTGTCAAAAAAGCAAACTCTCTGTTCTCGTAGCCTGTGACTCTGCCAATACATGATAATAACCCTGATTTTATTCATACCACTATGTAAAACTGGCCTTATATCAGGCAACTTTTGCAGTAATTTGGGGGGGCAGGCATTATTTTAGGCTAAATGTATTAACCTAATATAATATACCCTTGCATATTGATGTTCCATAATTATTCATTACTTTGTCTTTTTTTTTCATTACTTTGTCTTAAATACCCTTGTTTCTGTTAAAATGGAAAAACAAGAACTACGACCAGCACCATCCTAGAAAAGAAAATTAAATTTCTTTCACTAATGACCTTTTAAATGCCAGAGTCAATGGATTCTTCATAGTAATCACCTTCCTTGATATCAGATACTCCTCCTCACTTGGAAATTTTTTGCTCCTTTTAGTTCCTAGCCTATCTAGTTCTGGTTCTTGTCCTGTATCTCTGACCACTCCTTCACTGAATCTTCCGAACTCCTTATCAGCCACCCATTCCTTCGACATTTTTGTTCTTCTGTGGTACCACTCTCAGTTTATTTCTCACTCTGCACAATCTTCCTTTAGTGATCTCATCCATACCTAGAAAAATGAGGGCTCCCAAGTTGGTTTGGTGATAAAGAGATGTAGAGAGAAAGAGATGTTGGAACCCCTGACAATTCTGTTTACACAACCTGAACCTGTCCCTAGGCCATGACTAACTGGACCAGGAATGAACACCTGGATAAATCAGATTCTCCCAGAAGTTTTATTTTTTTATTTTTTTAAAAAGATTTTTAATTTATTCATTTGAGAGAGACAGACAGAGAAAGAGCACAAGCAGGGGGAGAGGCAGATGGAAAGGGAGAAGCAGACTCCCTGCTGAGCTGGGAGCTTGACATAGCGCTCCATCCCAGGACCTGGAGATCATGACCTGAGCTGAAGGCAGACACTTAACCATCTGAGCCACTCAGGCGCCCTCCCAGAAGTTTCAGAAGCAGGGTTGGAATATTATTCATGCTATATTATTTGCCTGAACTGATAACATGTAAACTAGAGCAATGTAGGAGGCATCAAGTTTGGCTACATCACTGTCTAAGGAAAAGCCAAACGACAAAGAGAAAGATATAAAAGTGAAGCAGACACACTGAGAGAAGCAGAAATGAGAGTTCATACAGAGAGGAGGTGACATTGTGGAAGGAGAAAAAGTGAGAACAGGAGAATGGAAAAAGGCAGCCAGAGATAGAGATATACAGATAAGTGACTCCTGAAAATCCTGATAGCCTTCTAATTTCTGGTTCTAGTCCCTTCTGAGGTCCAACTGTAATTGCTGCCTTTGGATTCTTTGAGATAATCCTAGTCTTCTAACAAATTCCCTTTCAATTTAAAACAGCTATTCCTTGTACCCAAAGAATACCTACAACAATCACTATTTATATAATATATACATTTAATCTGCATCTTAAGCCCATATATTATTTAGAGATGTATGAAATGTGCTATGTGCTAAAGAGATTATGTAATGAAGTATTTTTTATTACACACACACATATGCACACACACAAGTGAGTGTGTTACATATGCAACATACTCAAAGCCTGAATTTATTTACTTCCCCAACTCCTGTTCCCAAACCTCCTCCTCCTGCTGTATGATGGATTCACCATTTCTCAAGTTAATCAAGTCAGATTTGGAATCATCCCTGACCTTAGAGATATAGGCAATCCCCATTCCAGCTTCCTTATAATCTATTGTAGACATGCAGCACTTAACACATTATCAGTCTTTCTATTTTTTTTAATTTTTTTTATTATTGGAGTTCAATTTGCCAACATTTAGCATAATACCCAGTGCCTATCCCTCCAAGTGCCCCCCTCAGTGTCCATCACCCAGTCACCTCAACCCCCCCCCCCCGCCTCCCCTTCCACTACCCCTTGTTCATTCCCAGAGTTAGGTGTCTCTCATGTTTTGTCACCCTCACTGATATTTTCACTCATTTTCTCTCCCTTCCCTTTATTCCCTTTCGCTAATTTTTATATTCCCCAAATGAACAAGACCATATAATGTTTGTCCTTTTTCGATTGACAGTCTTTTCTATTAACTCGTGAGCAGTTTGGGAGTTTGGAATAGGATAAGGAGAAAAGGGAATAATATTTAATATTTTTGTTGGGTACTAACAATGCATTTGGCACATTTATGGCACTAAGGAGGGCACTTGATGTAATAAGTGGTGGGTATTATATGCAACTAATGAATCGCTAACTCTACCTCTGAAACTGAAAAAAAAAAGAATACATTAATACATTTGACTAATTAAAATATTTATTGAATTCAATTTTCATGGTGAACATTAGAGAGATACATGAGGGATGATAAAGAGAATGCTGGCCTTCAAGTTTACAATCTAGAAGGGAGGTTAAGAAGTACACAAAGTGCTTTGAGAGTTCAAAGGAAAAACAGATAACTTTTTTCAGAGGATGGAAGAAAATAAAAGACCCTGGGAGAAAAATAACAGCATACTTAACTTCTATAATCTCTCCTAAATTTTCATCTGTTTGAACTTTTCAGCTAACTACACTTGGTGGTTGTAAAACTGCAACTTTTCTTCTTAGACTTGAGTTCTAACGGCCCCAGAACTGTAAAAATTATGGCACAGGTTTATGTCACATAAGGAAACATGGTCCTAATGTTTATAATCTTCAGCATGCTTTCTAAATGGTTAAATCATAAAAAGAAAAGTTACACAGAAATTTACCAGTTCACAGAGAAGAAGAGTAAATGGATAAGGCAGCTGACACAAAGTACAGACCATTCTTTTGAGAAGTTTGACTTCTGAAATCAAGGACTCAATGGGACTCTCAGAGATCAAAACACTACATACTTCTGGTTCTCCCCCTAAGTCCACAACACTCCTTTTAGAACTGGAAACTTTAGTCCCTCCAATTTCATTCTTTGTAAAGACTGTTTTGGCTATTCTGAGTCTTTTACCTTTCCATATGAATTTTGGGATCAGCTTGTCAAGTTTTGCAAAATCCCTCCTGGGATTTTGATAGGGATTGTATTGAATCTATAGATCAGTTTGGAGAAAATTGCCATATAAATAATATTGGGTCTTCCAATCAATAAACATGGAATGTCTCATTTACTTAGATTTTCTTTAATTTCTCCCAGCAAATTAAGTAGTTTTTAATATATAAGCCATGTATTTCTTTTGTTAAATTATTCCTAAATTGGTTGCTCTTTTCGATGCTACTGTGATTAGAAATATTTTCTAAATTTCATTTTTGGACTGATTCTTCACTGCCAGTATATAAACATGCAACTGAGTTTTATATGCTGATATCATATCCTGCAACCTTGCTGAACTTGTTTATTAGATCTAATAGTATTTTTTGAATTTCTTAAGATTTCCTATATTATGATGTCATCTGTGAATAAAGACAGTTTTTCTTCTTCCTTTCCAACATGAATGCCTTTTTTATACTGGCTTGACTAAGATCTCTAGTACAACACTGAAGAGAAGTGGGGAGAGCAGATATCCTTGCCTTATTCTTTATCTTAGGGAGAAAGTATTCAGTGTTTAAATCATAAAATCATTATTAAGTATGCTGTTAGCTATGGGGTTTTAGTAGATGCTCTTTATCAGGTTAAGGAAATTCTCTTTTATTCCTACTTTGTTCAAAATTTTTACCATGAATGGGTGTTGGATTTTTGTCAGGTGCTTTTTCTGCATCCATTGTCATTTACTCTCTTAACACGATGTAATGCCTTTTCAAAAGTTAAACCACTTGCATTTGTGAGGTAAGTCCCACTTGCTCATGGAGCATAATCCTTTTTATATGTATTTGGATTCAGCTGGCTAGTATTTTGTTGAACATGTTTGTGTCTATAGTCATGAGGGTTATCATTCTATAGTTTTCTTGTAATGCCTTTGGTTTCGGTATCAGGATAATACTGGTCTCATAGAATAAGCTGAGAAGTGTTCATTTCTTTTTTGAAAAGAATTTGTGAAGGATTGGTATTATTTCTTCAAATGTTTGTAAGATGACTGCTCTTTTTAATGTCTTCAATTTTTGTGTTCTCATTGTATCTCACACAGCATTTTATCCCAAAAATGTAAGGAAATGAATGGAATTATGCAACTACATCCAAGAAATGACTAAAATAGTATTTTAAACAGTATCCTGAATTTCAACCAAAGGCACTTTTACTATGAGAAAATACTATGAAGCACCATCTTACTTTTAAGTTTAGGAAAACTAGAATATTTACTTACTAGGTAATAGCTCTCTATCAGCAGTCTCTGTGCAGCTCGGATAAGGGTAAAATAGATGGCCTTTTTCTAGTGGATATGGAATCATTCTAAAAGCTGAGGGAAAAAAATACATACGTTGACATTCCATTCAGACTGACTTTTATCCCATACTGTAGATCAAAGCTACTTTGGAGACATATTTTTATAAAATTTTCACATAGCATTTATTAATTTTCTTAGAGGTACCTTTCAGAGGAAAGAAACAAAGTAAGCAAAAGAAGGAATAAGTGGAAGAATAAGACTTATTTAGAGAATAGTGAATGGTCTGGCTGAAATAAAACTAAAGGGAGTAGTGGGTACTAAGGATGGGTGGGTCCTTCTTGCCTCTGTCTCCTCACTATAAACACAACAAACTTGACTCTATGGGTATGTATTCCTTTTCTTCCAGGAATCTTTATAAAACTGCAACATGTATCACTGTTGTGACCATAATTCCTGACAACCTAAAAGATTTCCCAATGGCTCCTAACTTTACCTGTTAGGTATCACCAAATTTTCTATGAGGAGAATTTAATTTAGATCAGAGGCCACCAAAGCATTGCCCTTTGGCCAGACACACACACACACACACACAGAGAGAGAGAGAGAGAGAGAGAGAGAGAGAGAGAGAGAGAGAGAGGCAGAGATACAGGCAGAGGGAGAAGCAGGCTCCTTGCAAGGAGCCCAATGTGAGACTCAATCCCAGGATACTGGGATCATGCCCCAAGCCAAAGGCAGATACTCAACCATTGAGCCTCTCAGACATCCCATATGTTTATAAGTAAAATTTTATTAGAATACAGATATTAAAACCACTTCTTCATTATATTATGTAAGGCTACTTTCATGCTATAAGAGTCGGGTAGCTACAGAGACTATGGCTGCAAAGGCTAAATACCATTTGGCTCTTGACAGAAAAAGTTTACCTATCTAGATTATCATCAGCTCTTGCAAATTTTTTTTTTTTTTTAATTTGAGTGAGCAAGTGAGAGAGAGAGAAAGTATGAGTAGGGGTAGAGGGAGAAGCAGACTCCTTGCTGAGCAGGGAGCCCAACATGGCTTGATATGGGACATGATCCCAGGACTCTGGGATCATGACCTGAGCTGAAGGCAGCAGCTTAACTGACTGAGCCACCCAGGCACCCCTCTTGCAGACTTCTTAAAGAAGGAATCTTTATTACCTACTCAACTAGCTAAGTATTCACCAAAATTGTGATAAATTTTTTGTTTTTCCTTTAATGCTTAGCTCTATAAACTTTTGTCAAAATATGAACTTTGGGGCAGCCCAGGTGGCCCAGTGGATTAGTGCTGCCTTCGGCCCAGGGCCTGATCCTGGAGACCCGGAATTGAGTCTCGCATCGAGCTCCCTGCACAAAACTTGCTTCTCCCTCTGCCTGTGTCTCTGCCTCTCTCTCTTTCTGTGTCTCTCATGGATAAATAAATAAAATCTTAAAAAAATATATGAACTTTTCTGTCACAGTAAAAAGTAGGGATTTGCCCAAAGTCACAGAGTAAATCAGTGGTAACACTAGGAAATCATTCATAAAAAGAATATTTACAAAATACAGAGTAAGTCACATATTTATTGAAAACCTCCTATGTGCCAGGCAGAACCGTAGGCACTGAAGACACATAAAGGCAATGAGATAGAGGACTTGCCTTTGAGGAGCTTATAGACTACTAGAGAAAAAGCAAAAGGAAGTCTAATTATCCAAAGCATTCTACTCCTCAGTGTTAGCAGTCCCAGTTTCATTAACCTGCATATTGTCAGTGACAAGCACACTGTCTGACCTCTAGCAAGTGGTTAATTCAGAGGTTCCCAAATTCTCTTGTTTCAAGGCTTCATGCCTCAAATTTTTTATGATGCCCCTAGGCTGAAAGAAATACCTAACTTTTTTTTTTTTTTTTAACAATCCTGAGGTCTTTTATTTTCTTCACAGTTATCATGCCATGAATTCATAGGGAATGGGTTCCAGCAGTTCAGGCTCCTTCCCATTGGTTCTCACAAAGTGTGCTTCTCTGGGTGGGGCAGGCTGGCGCTTCAGTTGGACCCAAGTACCTTTCTCTTTGGCTTCCTTTTTTTTCTGATCATTTTCCTTCACACGCTTCAGGAAGCTATCTCGTCTCTTTGAGTGTTTAATATGCTCAATGCGGACATTAATTCTCTCGACAAGGAACTTGCCCTTAACTTGTTTGTTTACAACAATGCCAACAGCATGCTGAGTAACATTGTAGACTCTTCCAGTTTTGCCATGGTAACATTTGTGGGGCATTCCTTTTTGAACAGTGCCCATTCCCTTGATGTCCACAATATCACCTTTCTTATAGATTCGCATGTATGTGGCCAAAGGAACAACTCCACGTTTTCTAAAAGGCTTAGAGAAATATAGCGGGTACCTCTCCTCTTTCCCTTTGTGTTGGTCATTTTGGCAAATTACTGGAAGATGGTGGTTCCCAAATACCTAACAATTCTATTTAAGTAGTGGGTCCAAACAACTTTAAAGGCTTATGTCCTAACAACTTAGCAGTGATTTGAAAAAACAAAAACAAAACATATAAATTAAAGGGAAAAATAATTATTTCATGTTTTTAAAGATTTTATTTTCTCAAGTAATCTTATATCCAATGTAGGGCTTGAACCCACAACCCCAAGATCAAGAGTCGCACACTTTACTGATCAAGCCAGCCAGGTACCTCTAATTATTTCATTTTTAAACAACCACCTTTTCTTACTAATGGGATGTATGTACCTGTTGGGTTATACATAACTTCTCAAACCTTGGAATTTGACACGACCATCCTCATTTCCTGCTCCACACTGATTTTTGTTTTTCGGTGGTACTTCTTTTAATCATAGCAACTAGGGGATCCCTGGGTGGCTCAGCGGTTTAGTGCCTGCCTTTGGTCCAGGGCATGATCCTCGAGTCCCAGAATAGAGTCCCACGTTGGGCTCCCTGCTTCTCCTTCTGCCTGTGTCTCCGCCTCTCTCTCTCTCTCTCTCTCTCTCTCTCTCTGTCACTCATGAATAAATAAATAAAATCTTAAAAAAATAATCATAGCAACTAAGAAAAATCCAGCTTTGTAAAGCTATGACATCAAAAGAAATAGAAAATGGAGAGCCACCTAATAGTGAAACCTTGAACTATTCAGAACTAACAGTTTGAATGATGCCTGACTGACATTGAGTATTGCTGTGTTTCCACTGAAATTTTTAAATATCCCTTGGCACTCTTGTGAATTTGCTACAATGCCCCAAGGTGCCTCAGTATTAGGAACTGAGGGGGTTAAACCAATTCTAGTTAATGTGTATTGAATTTATTCTTGAATTTTTATTGACAGCAGAAGTGTACTTTCCAAGACAATCATAAAAATTCAACTGACAAAATATTTTGATTAAGCTTTTTCATTTTCTAAGTGATTTTAAGAAGTGACAAATAAGAGATGTTATTGTTGAATAACAATATAGTTCTCCAAAGAAGATATACAAATGACCAATTAGTGCATAAAAAAACGTTCAACAACACTGATTATCAGGAAAATGCAAATCAAAACCACAATGAGATACCACTTCATATCCATTAGTATGGCTATTATTAAAAAAAAAAAAGAGAACAAATGTTGCCAAGGATATAGAGAAAGTGAAACCCTTGTGCATTGTTGGTAGAATATAAAATGGTACAGCTGCCATAGAAAATACTGACAGTTCCTCAAAAAATTAAATGCAGAATTATATAATCTACTGGTTCCACTTCTAGGTATATACCCAAAAGAAATGAAAGCAGGAACTTGAACAAATACTTGTAATACCCATGTTTATAGCAGGATTATTCATAATAGCCAAAAAGGTGGAAATAGCCCAAATGTCCATTGACAGATGAATGTATAAACAAAGTATATTACATACAATGGGATATTATTCAACCCTAAAAAGGAATGATTTTCTGACACATGCTACAACATTAAGTGAAGTAAGACTGATTTAATGAGATAAATACTATATGATACCTACACTAGCCAAACTCATAGAGACAGAAGATAGAATGGTTACCAGGGGCTGGAGAGAGGGGAAGCATGGGGAGTTACTGTCTAATGGATATAGAATTTCCGTTTGGGATGATGAAAAAGTTCTAGGGATAGATGATGGTGATGGTGGCACAACAATGTGAATGTACATACTACCACTGAACTGTAAATTTTAAAACTGTTAAAACAGTTTTAAACAGGAGGGCCTGGCTGACTCAGTTGGCAGAGTGTGAGACTTGATCTCGGGTTCTGAGTTTGAGCCCCACAGTGGGTGTGGAAATTACTTAAAAATAAAATCTTTTAAAAGTAATAAAAAATTTAAAAAATTAAATGGTTAAAAAATTAAATGGTTAAAATAGTAACTTTTATGTTATGTGTATATTACCACAATAAAAAATATATTTTAAAAAAAAGAACAAGAGTTGATATTAGTTGTGAGGAAAATAGTTTCATGATGTATATATCTGAAAATAAAACAAAAGTCCAATTTAAAAAATATTAGAACCAGAACTCAACCACATTAAAAAGCTTATAAATTAAGGGATGTAAGTTTCATTTACTGTCCTTACAAACATGTCATTTAAATGAATACATGGCAAAATACTGTAATAGTTTCTCATTTTGCTTTTCCTAAATGTAGCATCAATAAGTACATGAAGTATTTCTCCTACCAATAAACTAAATAAACACCTCTGAGTTCACTTTGAAAAAAATCTGAACAATACTTCTGGACACTCAGACAATCTCATTTAGAAAGGCTGCCTGGGAATGCAATAACAGTCCAAGATATTAGTGGTACATTTGGAAAAGAATACTTACTGCCTTCCCATGTACACTGTAACAGGTTAAGAGCACCTTCTATTCTCTTCCAGTGCTGAAGATGGAAGAAAGCATAGGCGATTGCTTCACTATCCCCTCGTTTCAGAATGTGTTCTGGAGGTAAAATTAGACTTTTCATCTCTAGTAAATACTAGAAAGATAACACACACAAAGACACACCACAAGAAAATGAAAAATTATGTTAAGCTCAAACATGCACAAAAATGTAGATACGAATTTTATAAAATCAGTTTCATTTAAAAAAACAAACATTAAGCTAGTTGAGATGACAAAAGGGTCACACTGATAATGTGTATAAAATGCTTATATGCAAATTCCAAAGATCAGAATATTCCTAAAGGCAAAAATAAGGTGCTAAATACTTTATGTATAACTCTGCTAAATACAAAATGGAAACTCAGCTGAGGAAATAATGTGAGAGTAAATATTATTTTTCCAAAAGAGAATTAAGTATAAAGATCTAAAATACAATTTTGGAACATTTTGTGGTGACATTCTTTTTCCTTATTCCCATTTTACAGGTGGAGGAATTCAATTGTGAATAAGTTCAATTAGACTAATATTTACTGAGTGCAAAGCACTATGCTTGTTAGGAAATGCCAGATTCTCTGGAGTTTCCTAACATAATGAGAAAGATTTTTTTTTTTTTTAAAGATTTTATTTTATTATTTGAGAGAGAATGCACAAGCAGGGGGTAGGAGCAGGAGAAGCAGGTTCTCTGCTGAACAGGGAGCCTGATGCAGGACTCAGGGCTCAATCCCAGGACCCTGAGATCATGATCTGAGCCGAAAGCAGATGCCTAACTGACTGAGCCGCCCAAGTGCCCCGAGAAAGGCAGATTTCTTAAGTTACTAATTATAACAAGACTATGTTGAGTGCTTTATTAGAGGTATAAACAGTGTATATAAGAATTTGGATAGGGCAGCCCCAGTGGCGCAGCAGTTTAGCACAGCCTGCAGCCCAGGGCATGATCCTGGAGTCCTGGGATCGAGTTCCGCGTCGGGTTCCCTGCATGGAACCCGCTTCTTCCTCTGCCTGTGTCTCTGCCTCTCTCTCTCTCTCGCTCTGTATCTCTCATGAGTAAATAAAATAAAATCTTAAAAAAAAAAGAATTTGGATAAAAGATATAAATTTTTAAACTTTTTTATAACAGCTTTATTGAGATATAATTCATACTTTACAGTTTACCCATTTAAAGTATACAACCAAATAAATGTATATAACTCAATGGTTTTTATTTTTTTAGTTTTATTTTTTTAATGGTTTATACAACCATTACCACAGTCAATTTTAGAACATTTTCATCACTGCAAAAAGAATCCCCATCCTCTTTAGTCATTACCCTCTAACTCCCATTCCCCCTAAGCAACCACTAATGTACTTTGCAGTTCTACAGATTTGCCTGTTCTGGTTATTTCATGCAAAAAGAATCACATAAATTTTAAAAAATCATATAATATATGGTCTGGTTATTTCATGCAAAAAGAATCACATAAATTTTTAAAAATCATATAATATATGGTCTATTATAACTGGTTTCTTTCACTCAGCATAGTGTTTGAAGGTATGTCCATATTATATCATATACTAGTACCTCATTCCTCTTTGTGGCTGAATAATATTTCATTATATGGATATACCACATTTGTTTATCCATTCATTATTGGATGAACAACTGATTGTTTTCACTTTTGGCTATTGTGAATAATGCTGCGATAAAGATTCATGTACTTTTAATGTGAACATATGTTTTCATCTCTCTTGGGTATAGATCCAGGAATAGAAGTGCTGGGTCATATGGTAACTATACATTTAGAAGGCATTAATTATGATATAGGAGCTGAAAATAAGCCATTTGATGGAATTTGGGATTTGAACTGATCCATAAAGATGCATAAAATGTGGATGAACAGATTGGGCAGTTGGGTGGGGACACAGAGGGCTGTTGTACACCAACTTGAACAAGGCTAAGAAAGCATTGCACAATACACATTCAAGGAATTAGTGAGTGTGCCTGTTAAAGAAGTTATAGCCTAGGACACCTGTGGCTCAGTAGTTGAACATCTGCCTTTGTCTGCCTTCGGCTCAGGGCATGATCCTGGATCCAGGGATCGAGTCTCACATTGGGCTCCCTGCATGGAGCCTGCTTCTCCCTCTGCCTGTGTTTCTGCCTCTCTTTCTGTGTCTCTTATGAATAAATAAATGTAATATTTTTTTAAAAAAGAAGTTCTAGCCTATCAATTCTTATTCACATATGAAATTAAATAATATCTTAAATTCTTGAATACTTGCCTTAATATTATAATCCATAACAAAAGCAGTACAGTCAAATGTACTAATTACATAAAGAAAGATGCAGAATTAACCACTTGTACATCATCTTTACTATTAAAGTGGTAACTTAAAACTTCTCAGAAAATATTTAGTTAGCTAAATATTTCCTCCAAAGACTAAGACCAGAGTACATTTCCCCTACTTGACTGGTTTGAAACAACCTGTTTGGTTCTACATAATTTGATACCAAAGTATGTACCCTAAGGTCCAAACCACATTAACTTATGCTATAAAATATAGAAAGAGACTACTGAGAAGTGTCGTAAATGATATATTCTTACACTTCCAAATTCTGAGTTCCTCAGGTTGTGACACAAACTAAGGAAACAAATAACATACATTGGAGCTTAAATTTGTGAAACACTTTGTCAAACTGCTACAAGCAGGAAGAAACAAAAAGGTGTAGTGGTTTCAAAATTGAGCCTCTGGTTATTAATCAATATGTGTGTACTGTATGAATATATCTAAAATAATATTTTCTTTTTTTTTTTTATGAAATGTGCCTTTCCAACACTCACTGAGCTTAATGCCTGTTTTTAATTGCTCTTACTCCTATGCCTCAATAAAGCTGGGGAGAAAAAAGAATAGTTACTCTTAATCTTGATGTCTCTGGCTCTCTCCTCAAAGTTTAAGAATGCAGTTTGCTCATCAATTTATTTTAGCAGATGTCACAAGCTATGAGATTATTTACTAATCCAGTTTGGGGACTTAACATTTCCCATTCAGTTTCTTAAAGGAATGCAGCAGAGGTTGTGTCCTGGTCAAGCAAAGCCCATTTGCTGCCTGGTTGGGTTCTCTCCCCTTAGTGCCTTGGGCCTATATTCAGGAGGGTAATATTCTTTCTAATCCTCTCTAATCCTTGCCCATTTTTTTAAAACACAGTAAAAGATCACTCGCACCAGGCAGCTGTGGGAAAATGGACTCAAATAGCTGACCTCTGACATGACTCCTTATGTTCTTAGCAAGTGCACTAAGAGCTTCTTCAGTAGGAAGCAAAAAATAAAAAATAATTTTAAAAAATAATTTTAAAAATGCAGCCATCACAATGGAATCTCCACCATGAATTATCTCATTTTTACAAGAAAATTGTTTTAATCCATAAACCAAGCTCTTTCTATTAAAATTCTGTTTCACTTTACAGGTAGAGGAGACAAAGTATCCCAAATTATCTTCAATGAGTTTTAGAACCCTGAAGCTTTAATCTAAACCTATCTTGGTAGTCACTTAGCAAACAATCAGCAAAAGATATTCAGTTAACAGTTATTCAGCAAAACTTAGAGAAAATATCAGCTTACTACATCAAGAAAATACTCTTTTGAACATCAAGTATATATTTTCAATTTTTAATGATCTACATGACAATTTATATACTAATCAAACAAATAGCATGCTTACTAGAAATTGATACTTCAGGCATTTATATTTTAAAATCTTAGCTATATAATCATTAAAAAAATCTTCCTTATGTATTTTTCATTATGTCTTACTTATAAGCAAATGTCCTTTTCAATTTGACCTTAAAACAAAGCAATTCTTATTTTTCAGTTTCTAATAAAACACTGAAATAAAGTTTCACCTTCAAAATACAAGGGAAAAATTTCAGTTTAAAGAAAGTATCTTTAAAATGGTTAATTATAGGATGGCTAATTTTTTTTTAAGATTTTATTTATTTATTCATGAGAGACACAGAGAGAGAGAGAGAGAGGCAGAGACACAGGCAGAGGGAGAAGCAGACTCCACACAGGGAGCCTGATGTGGAACTCGATCCAGGGACTCCAGGATCACGCCCTGGGCCAAAGGCAGGCACTAAACCACTGTGCCACCCAGGGATCCCTATAGGATGGTTTATAACTTATTTTATCTCCTTCACAAACTGCTACTCGTAATTTCTGCTACTCACCATGAGCTGTAAGTTACTACACAATAGAAACCACATCCTTCACGTTCTACTATAGCACCTGGCATTTAAACACTTACTGACCTGATCTGATACATATAGCTAAAATGCCTTCAAATTCTTATTTATTTGTTTAAAGATTTTATTTATTTATTCATGAGAGACACAGAGAGGCAGAGACATAGGCAGAGGGAGAAGCAGGCTCCATGCAGGGAGCCCGATGTTGGACTCAATCCCGGGACCTGGGGATCACACCTTGAGCCGAAGGCAGATGCTTAACCGCTGGGCAACCCAGGCATCCCCTCAAATTCATATTTATATTTCAGTTTTTACTTAAAGATAGTTTTTTAACTCTCTGGGCAACTAAAAACAAAACAAACTTCTGCTACCTAGACTTTATGTTTCTGTAAGAATAGAAAAGGTTGAAAACTGAAGAGTGGCTGATTTTTTTTTCTGCTTCTTAAAGTACATGCTTACTGAAAAAAAAAGTACACGCCTACTGTACAAAAAATTCAAACGTTACAGAATTACAGAGTAGAAATACTATATTAAAAGATTAGAGAATAGGGGCACCTGGAGGGCTGAGTTGGTTGAGTGTCTGACTCTTGGTTTCAGCTCAGATTATGATCTCAGGGTTGTGAGATTGAGCCACATGTTAGGTTCCATGCTCAGCCCCACCTGCTTCAGATTCTCTCTCCCTCTCCTCTGCCCCTCCCCCCACTCAGGCTCTCATGCTCTTCTCTCGGTCACTCTCTAAAATAAGTTAAAATAGGGATGCCTATGTGGCTCAGCAGTTGAGCACTCAGAGCGTGATCCCAGGGTGCCAGGATTGAGTCTGAGGATCAAGTCCCACATTGGGCTCCTCACCGGGAGCCTGTTTTTCCCTCTGCCTATGTCTC